GGCACACACCATTGGTCTACTCAGAAGCACACGCGCCACGTGACACACGAATGACGCACGTCCGAAACGGGTCTATCCGGATCGGTACGACGTTGACATCCAATACTCTGCGTGCTTATACGGACTCACCTTTATGAGCACATGCTATTAGAGCTCCTTCCAGCAGGGATTTTCTCATCTCAGTTAGATTACTTATAGGCACAGATATGTATGTCAGCAACCTGAGCTAAACGAACTTCTCACATTACACACACAGAGATCACCAGTCACAAGTAATGAATAGCCGTCTCGTAAAACAGACATGAGACCGCCTACATAGACCAAGAACCAAAGATAGGCCGCCTAGTAAATGCCAATACGGAGAGGGCATAACAGGATCCCCCTCACCCACACACACACGCAGACCGCCTGGTATAGAAGACATTTATAATGTTTATATACACTTCTAGAGAACGGCTTAGTTCAAGGGTTCAGACTGGCAAGCTCAAACGGGTGAAACCAGCGAGCTCAAAGGGGGAAAACGGCATTAATGATTGCATACCCCGGGCACCCAACACGAGCTGGTCTGGGCGCAGGCTTCCACGTTTCAACGGCGATGGAGCTTCCTGACCGGACCGGCGGCCGAGAGTGGGGATGCCGCAGCGAGTCATGATTGTAATGGGCAATTCGAACCCAAGGACCGAATCATGGCGGAGCCCAGTACAGCTCCGACTGCAAGTGGCTGCCTCGCCTTCCCAGCTGCGATCCCCAATCAATACCAGTCGGCGACACTCAGCCAATGGTGTCGGTTGGGGACTTGGGCGGTGCGGTGGTCTTCAGCATGGCGAGCGTGATCCGTGGTCGGGTAGCGGTGGCTGCCGGCCTCACCAGCGGCCCGTGGTCCTGTCGACGGCGACGCACCAGCGGACGATGCCGGTGCCAGCTGCGATCGACGGTCGATATCAATCGCAGCTACTTGAGCCAATCGTGTGTGGGCAGCGCGGCGGCTGCTGGGTGTGACGAGCGGGGTCCGGCGGCCGGGGTTGGCGGCGGCGACCGGCGCATGAGAAAACTTCCCAAACTTCGATGACGGGCGGCGTGGTCACTGGCGCTCTGATCGGCACCCGCATCGTCGAACATTCAGCCAATTTGAACATAGGTTGCTCATTTCCTGAGAGCGGGTTTCGTATCCAACCATTGTACATTCTATTGTCCTTGGGGTGTGGGGGGGGGGGGGGACAGTCTGCGTGACAGGTCATTCGTGCATGGTCGTTGCGTGAGGTAACAGTCTGAAGTCTGCGACGTGGGCCAATATTTGATCTCATGACGGCTACGTGGAGGTTTATAAGATGGGCATTCACTTTTCCGGATGTAACCGTAAAAGCGACCTTTATTACATGGGTGCATAACGGCAAGGACTACAAATCGAAACACCGTATGCACCATATTTACTTTGTCCTAGTGGCCTTAACATGTGTCAAAATTTTCGGCGTTATTAGAACATCGAACCCAACACGACGTTATGCACGTGGAATGTCTGAAAGCTCAAAACGGACGATGAAAAATCAACAGGAAAGCGAAAATGCAACTCACATTATATATTTTTGACAGCTCATGCAATATCATATCATCCTGGTTGTACCAGCGAGTGATATATATGTAGAGCTGGTGGACCATGAGTGGGTATAATCATCACTAATGATCGAGACAGTTTTTTCAACGAGGATTTTACGCGGCTCTTGGCAGAACAGCCAGCCATCCAACGAGGCCAGTGTCTATGCATTGACAGAGAGCGTAGACGAATACAGTTCATCAAGTCTACTAAAATGAGCTTACGAACTAGCATTCCGAGCGAGTAGCCGCGGAGCAGGTGCCGTCTAAGTTGGTCGTGAGACGCCGCGGCCCCTCCACACCCGATGGCGACCGACAGTGAGTACCGCGTCGGCCTGGGCCTGCCGTCCATCACACTATCGGAGCGCCGGCGTCAGCTGCTGGCCTTCCTGACGGTGCTGCTCAGCCTGGCCGGCAGCCAGCTGGGCCTGCTGCTGGTCTGCTCGTCGTTGGTTGGTGGCGGCCCAGCCGTCGACCACGCGCCGCTGCTGGCGCGCGCGCCGGGCGGCGTCACCTTGCCGGCGCCGGACACCGCGCTGGCCACGCAGCCGGCGGCCGGCGGCGCCGCCGTCGCCAGCAGCGCGCTCGGCCTGCTGGCTGGTGTGTTGTCGCGCTCACACAACCGGCGCTACCGGCGCCGTGCGGTCGCCTTCGGCTACGTGTACGTGGTGGCGGAGCTGGCGACGCTGGCACTGCTGGCGGCGCTCATCGCGCGCGCGCAGCAGCAGCAGTCGCGCGCGGCCGGCCGCCGCCTGGAACGTCAGTACCGCGCGGCGTTCGCCAGCGCCATGTGGGACTACCTGTACGATCCGGCGCTGAAGGAGTACATCGACACGGTGCAGCAGGAGTTCCGCTGCTGCGGCGCCACCGGGTTCTCCGACTGGTACCTCACAGACTGGCTTCGGCCAAGCACCTACAAGCAGAAGTACTACATGAACCTGCTCGGGCGACAGCAGCTGGGGCTCAGTGCCGAAAACGAGTCCTACTACAAGCTGATTCACTACGGCTCGCCGATGGCGCAACGCGCGCTGGTGGCCCAGCTCGACAACCCCGAGGCCACCTCGCGGAAACGCTGCGAGCTGTTCTTCAACGAGGTGCCCTTCAGCTGCTGCGACCCGGAGTCGCCAACCTTCTGCCGGCAGATGTTTGCCAACCGCGTCACGTTCGCCTACAACCCAGCCGAGAACTTCACGCTCATGGACGCCGGCTGCGCGCAGGCTGTCACCGCCGCCATGCTGGCTGAGGGCCGCGCGACGGTGGCGCCGCTCTGGTGGGCACTTGGCGTGAAGCTGGCGGCGCTGCTGCTGTACCGACTGCTGCAGACATCGCAGGCCAGCGCGCTGGCCGCCGGCCGCCACCTGTCGGCGGCGCGAGGCTGGCTCCTGCTGCTGCGGCCCACACGCGGCGGCCCACCGCCGGAGCCGCTGCTCGACTCCTCGGCGGGCTCAGGTGAGGCTGAGAGGCCACTGAAGGCCGTGCCGGCAATGACGACGGCACCTGGTGTGGTCGGCTGCGGGTCAATGTATTTGTTTTTGGTGCTGGATATTCGATTACATAAAAAATGACACTTACAATACAGTATGCGATACAAGGTAAGATCACATAAAAGCATGGTAAACTATTACATAAATTTAAGATTAGAATTTGGTATAATGCTATCCTACCGTGTTGCATTATTAAAAATCCCGATAATCCAAAATTGTATCATAGTGTTCTTACTGATAAAGTTCCCCTGGTCTGACATGTCCATAACCCAGAAACATTTCCGAGGGTGACATGCCACCTGGCCTGTTTCCAGAGGCGTCCAGCACCACCGGGGACGGTGACATGACGACAGAGGAGAGCAACACACTCACCGAGGACAGCAGCGCGCCCTCTCCTGACGACGACTCGGAGCCGGACGCTACCTCTGACGACATACCCCCTCCGCCGCCGATGGACGACTCTGAGTGATCAGACCGTACTGCTTCTCGTCCAGCGGCGACGCGTGGAGTCACCTTTCGTTCCTGCGCGAGGGACGCCCTCCTGGAGAGAGTCTGAAAACGGAGACCTGAGCGGCGGGGGACTCACCACTGTGCCGGATTTGCACCAATGCCATTGAAGAGCTGTCCGGAGCCTCTGATGAACAGAGCATGAGTCCAGAGCCTAAATCCTGAGCGTCTAAGACCAACAGCCAAATTGCGTCTCATGTGCAGCCCTTGCCAGCTGGAACCGCTGCAGACTCCTCGCTGCGTTGATCTAGCCGTTTATGTGGAGAACATGTTGGTTGCCCGTGCGTTGTCAGCTCTCACGCTGCTGATCAGGTGATCACTTCACAGCTGTGGCAAAGAGACGGCTCGTGGCAACCTCCCCTCGCCCTCCCCCTTCCCCTAGGAGTGACTGGCCTGTTTTAAACTGTCATGCGTTTGTCGCGCTGGACTCGAGTCTCATATAGTCAGAATAGTCTGGAGTTCGACTCGAGCTTCGGGCTACTCGTATGACCGTGGCATCGTTCGTGTGACTTCGACGAATGGATGGAGTGATGTGGTGAGCAGGTTGACGGGATGTTGTTGCACCACCGCGGCGTCCTACAGCGCTACGCTGGCAGAATGTGTGGCACTTTACTCAGGCGTTTTCATGCAGTTGTGTTACATGTACGTAAAATATATGTCTATGGTGGGACGGAGCGCATTTCCAGCCACATGTTCATGTTTTCCTCTGCGAAATTCAGCACAAGTGTGCCTCATCCGAATGGTGAACACTCCATAAGTTGTTCGGTCGATATTAAGTCTATCGATTAGCGGCGAGCACGATGACTTTGAGATGGACGTTTACAGTAATTGCCACGTGATGAAAATTTCACTGATCCCCGCCAGCTGTCGCCAGCTGCTCCCGCAGCCGTCCGCCCAGTCACCGACTTGCCCCCGCAGCCGTCCGCCTAGTCACCGACTTGCCCCTGCAGCCACCGTCCGCCCAGTCGCTGACCTGCCCCCGCAGCCATCGGCCCAGCTCAGCAGGCAGCAGGCGCCAGCCACATCTCTGATGCACAATGGACGGGCGTCACACCGCGCATTAGTGTCCGCATGCACATAGCGCAACAGAAAATTGAGTTTACCACCGCGAGCCCACCTGGATATTGGTTGCCATTCCTCCGCACAGCTTGTGCCATTGGGGCTTTACGACGCACTCAGTTGCTGGGGCTATATGGCGCCGCCTGCCTCTCACCCTGGCAGGAAGGGCGAGCACCGCGGGGAATCGAACCCCGTACCTCTGGTTTCCCAGACGCAATCCGCACAGCGGCGGACGGAGAGAACACCCTGGACGCCGCTGCTCCCAGCTTCCCACATTGACCGCCAGGGGCGCTGCCCGTCCTGCGGCGTCCAGCGCGGGCGGCCGGCAGGCCGGACACTCGGCTCGAGGAGGTGCGGTGGTGTGGTCTGCTGTCCAGCGTCGGGGTCCGCCGCAGCCGACGCGTCGGCCGACGCCCGCTGACCCGTGGAGCGCGAGTCGAGCGCCGTTTCAGCGACGCTGTCACGGCTCCTCAGTACGCGACCGGCGAGGGCTTTTGCCGCGTGCCAGGGCGCGGGCAGAAAAGTTCCCGGCTCGCAAAGGATCTTCGACGCATCTGAGATGCTTTCCAGGTCTTGGAACGATGCTGAGGTTTTGAAGATGATGGCCCAAGGCTGCCGCTGCCTGGTGAGTCGTACGTTAAGGCAGTGCACATTTCCAGTCCAAAGTTTGTTTCAATATTGATCTGCCCTGACCGGTCGTCAGCTGGCTTCCCAAAAGGGTGAGTCAGTAAATTCTAATTTGGGATAACCAGTTTTTGTCTATGGTGTTATCTTGCGTTCATATTATGGATAATGTCATCGAGCGTTCATAATGTGCTCCGCGATGGAATTTTGAGTTTTTTATCTATGTATATCACCATGCATCACCTGTGTTTTGGCTGGCACAAGAGATCAAACACTCTTAAAGAATGGATGCAAAGCCCTGTATCAAAATATGTTGAAAACTGTGCTACAAGAGTGATCAAATGCGAGAATGCAGTTTTCAAGTGTGATTTTGCCCAAGTAACTTTTTAAATTCCGAAAGCTCATTGCGGCACTCAGCATGATACCATAGTGAGAAACTGCGATCATGAATTTTACATTTCAAGACACGCCCTGCAGTACGCAATCCGCTTATTGCCCCAAAGGCTCGTAAGTCCCAAGCAAGAGCGCATTTCACCTTCTAATGCGATCTTATTGATAATAATCACAGAAACTGCAGGGACCTGTGGGGGCTTATGCTTTCCCTTTTCGTTAAGTCTCAGTCCGGAGAGCTGGACATTTAAGACGTGCCGCCTGCGATCTGCAACAACGCACGCCATCAAACAAATGTAGACGTCTCTCTAATGTATCGCCCATCTTCGCGCCAACAAATGCTAAGCTATGCGAGGGAGGGCACAGGTGGGGTCGCGTAGCAAAACCGGACCCCGAGCGTCACTCCCACCCCTGCCGTCTTCTGAGTCAACGCGTCTTCACTATGAGGGCTAAGGCGCCTCCTGTAGAGCCTGCACGGTCCATCACCATAGCTGTGCTGTCACCGGTGCGGTCCGTCATCATAGCTGTGCTGTCACCGGTGCGGCCCGTCATCATAGCTGTGCCGTCACCGGTGCGGTCCGTCATCATAGCTGTGCTGTCTCCGGTGCGGTCCGTCATCATAGCTGTGCTCTCATCGATGCGATCCGTGATCATAGCTGTGCCGTCACCGGTGTGGTCCGTCATCATAGCTGTGCTGTCACCGGTGCGGTCCGTCGTCATGGCTGTGCTGTCACCGGTGCGGTCCGTCATCATAGCTGTGCTGTCACCGGTGCGGTCCGTAATCATAGCTGTGCTGTCACCGGTGCGGTCCGTCATCATAGCTGTGCTGTCACCGGTGTGGTCCGTCACCATAGGTGTGCTGTCACCGGCGCGGTCCGTAATCATAGCTGTGCCGTCATCATAGCTGTGCTGTCACCAGTGCGGTCCGTCACCATAGCTGTGCTGTCACCGGTGCGGTCCGTCATCGTAGCTGTGCTGTCACCGGTGCGGCCCGTGTCACCGGTGCGGTCCGTCATCGTAGCTGTGCTGTCACCGACGCAGGCCGCGCCGCTGCGGTGGCGGTTGAGCTGGCCGGCCGGGCCCGCGCGGCGCCCGCCGCCGCTCACGCTCTCGCGCCGCCGCCCGAGGCCCGCCGCAGCCGCAGCCGCAGCCGGCCAGGCCGCTGCCGCCACAAACGCGTGGGACGAACTTCTGGACGGCCCGCAGTGTACCGGGCTGGATTTAGCACGCGCCAGCCGTCCGCGTGAAGGACATGAGGGCTTGGGTAAACCCACGTGTGCCCATAGGGAAGTCGTAACGGGTTGGGTTCGGTGCATGTTTCGGGAAATTACGGGCATGGGTATGGATATGGTTAAGACGTTTGCTGATTGGCTGGTAGATGCTTCAAAAATGCTATCAAATATACCTGCTAACACTTCTTGCAGTCCCAATAAGCTCTACATCATACTAGTTTTGCATGTATTAAGGCCAAACAGTAAGTCTGGGTGCAAGCATTCCCAAAACATGACCATGTCTACAACTAAAATGCATGTAAAATCCAGAGGTGCGTCACGGATGGGTGCAGCCGATTGAGAATGCGCAGCGGGTGGGTATGTGTATGGGTGCGTAGTGAGTGGGTATGGGCACAGCCCTATGGGCAACGGATAAATTGAACGAAGGAGATCTCACCCGTGAATGCCTCTGCATCTAAAGCGTGCCTCGAAGGCGGGCTGTGACCGGGCGCTGTCCTGGTGGTCACTGTCGCCCCGCTCAGAGCCCGGCAGGCTGTGACCAGGCGCTGGCCTGGAGGTCACTGTCGCCCCGCTCAGAGCCCGGCAGGCTGTGACCAGGCGCTGGCCTGGAGGTTACTGTCGCCCCGCTCAGAGCCCGCAGGCTGTGACTGAGAGCTAGCCTGGCGGTCACTGTCGCCCCGCTCAGAGCCCAGCAGGCTGCGACCAGGCGCTGGCCTGGAGGTTACTGTCACCCCGCTCAGAGCCCGGCAGGCTGTGACTAAGAGCTAGCCTGGCAGTCAGTGCGTGCTAGCTAGCTAGCCTGGCGGTCATTTTGAATGAAACACCATCTGCGCTCGTAAGTCCCCTCATACACGTTGTATAAAACGAAATGCAAATTTACACGACGGGGTTACGAGTTTTGCCATGTAGTGGGATCTTTTTGTGACGGTCCTACTATCTAAAATTCACGTGACTGGCGTCCACGATACAAGTGGCTATGGTCCCGTCGAGTCTGTGTTAAACTCTTTGGGCCATCTCCATCCACGCCATTTCCAGTCATGCCTGGTGGCAAAGGGTCTCTTATATGACAAACAAATTACAACTCTTCCAACGATTCAAATGGGATCAAGTTGCGATAATTGAATTGTCAAGGCATAATGAAGCATTCTGTTCCAAATAGGCATTTATCTATGCATATCGCTTGGTACAGATATTGGAGTTATGGCAGCTACTGTACTTAATTACTCCTGACGGCTCAGCGATTCGAATAAAAGTCGTCCTGTTTAAGAGAGTGAACCTCTCCCGTTGAAAGCGTGCATGCAGACGTACTTTAAAGGGATCTCTGCCAAATAGACCCAAACTTCAGCATCAAGCATCTTACTGACGCCATTTGCAGCCAAGGCCAAACGGCCCCAAATATGGGCTCTGCTCCACGGTCGATAAAGCGGCCAGTTGCGTGGCCGGAGACCATCGTCTGCGCCAGCCTGAGAATCGCGCCCGGGGCCATCGCGGCATCCGGTTCGGACGGCGGGCCTGTGGCTTCCGTGCTCTGTACAAGCCCGGCTAGCGGTCAGGACAAACCACGCGGCGCCGTTCCTTTCATGTCTCCTGGTGAATGATGGGATATTAGTATAGGCATCCTGCGAGCACCTGATCGCTGCGTCAGCCGACGCAGACCGAGCTCAAGCGAGCTAACTAGCATCGCGTCAGTCGACGCAGATCAAGCTCAAGCGAACTAGCTTGTATCGCGTTAGTCGACGCAAACCAGGCTCAGGCAAACGAACCAGCATCGCACTCGCTGAGCAGACGGATCTGGTGGGACGGACTCCAGTCACAGAGCCGCCGTCGGTGAGACGAGGGCTAGCACACGCCCGGTGAGCACCTCAGGTCACTGCGGAGCCGCCTTTCCCCGTGACCAGCCTGCCCTCCCAGCCCTTTCAGCCTGCCTCTGGCTATTGAGGGTGGTGGTTAGGGACGGTGCGTCGAGCCATCGAGCTGCGCATGTCCTGGCCGCCTGGCGATCCGGCAGTGGCGTGACTCCATGTGGACTCTTGTAAAGAGTGGCCAGCACCGCTGACGCCCAGCAAATGACGGGTAATTAGTGTCGGCCTGACGCTCTGGGTACGTTTTACACCCGACCGCGGGCAGTGCAGGCCTGCGTCTAGCGGGTAAAGTACAGCTCTGCCGGCAACCTGGAGCAGTTGCCTGCGGGCTGAAGCGCTGACTGCACTTTCCACCGACCCTGAAAGCAAGGCACAATTGGCAGTGTGAGGTGCAATGTGAGGTACAGAGTGTGATGCGGAGTGAGTTGCAGTGTGAGACGCAATGTGAGGTGTAGTGTAAGGTGTAGTACGAGGTACAGAGTGTGATGCGGAGTGAGCTGCAGTGTGAGATGCAGTGTGAGGTGCATTGTAAGGTGCATTGTAAGGTGCATTGTAAGGTACAGTGTGAGTCGCAGTGTGAGGTGCAGTGTGAGTTGCAATGGCAGGTGCAGTGTGAGGCGCAGTGTGAGGTGCAGCGGCACTCTCAGCTGCGGTCCGGTTCTTCTATCACTCGATGTAAACTCTGGATGGAAAATAGTGAACGGTGAAGCTGAACATTGTTGGACAGCTAAAAAACGTGTTGGTAACGTGATGCTCGTGAGAACGAGACACGTGCGTTTGAAAATATACCAAACTTTGGAGAAACGATATGTACTGAGGGAGTGACGTGTACAAATATGCCTGCATGCCGAACATGACGGCACACTTCTTTCGTCATTGTGAGCATAAGGATATCGACACGTTTTTTGATTTCATGGAAATGCTGCGTCTGCTATTTGCCGATGCAGTGAGATGATACGCAGAAACGTTATTTATCCTCATGATTGGCTTCAGTGCCATCCAATGCAAAGTGGCCCAACTGCGTGCTTTGGTTTTAAGACAACCACAAATACCCTGCACATTGTCTGAGTGACGTCTGGAGCGAGCGCCATCGATTGCGTGCTTCGGCTCCGAGAACGTGGCTTGATAGCACGCAAGGGCAGGGAGGTGTGGTTTCGGCTAGTATACAAACCACAAACCTGAAGCGCTGGTGCGGTTAGTCACGCACACATTGAGGCGCAACCGAAATGAATTATATACACAAGAGAATCTCCGATTCTGTTATCTAGAGTACCTGTCATTTTCCACGTGACCCGTGCTCCCACAGTTGAATCTGTAATCGTTTCCTCTGAAAACTGCTTGTCCTTCCCCCATTAACCAAAATGCCGTTCTTCGGCGTTTCGTGGATTCTATGCTTACGCCTATGCATTTAGCTGGTCCCGGACCCCGCTCGATTGTCCATCGGCATTCTAATGACCGGGCAATTAATCCTCGGACTCATTACTGACGAGATAAGTACAACGTGCCAGCCGCCGACG